CTCATTACATTATAATCCACTCCGCCTTTTTCCTACCTCACCCATAGACACTTCACACATTACATCTCAATCTCTCTTTACATTCCCACACCATTCATTACAATTTGAATACTCTCTCTCTCTCTCTCTCTCTTTCTTTCTCTCTCTCTCTCGCTCTCTCTCTCTCTCTCTCTCTCTCTCTCTCTATCCGACAATTCACATTTGACACATTCTCTTGCTTCCATGATCATTTGTTTTTCAAAACCGTGTGATATAGATATAAGCTAAAACTTTCGAAAATATGTTTTAGCTTTTCATATATATTTATTTTTTACCAATGTTTAAAAATATTTCATTTCAGAACTAAATGGAACTGTTCAAAAACCAGCTAATGAAACTTTACTGTAAGTGTTTTAAATACATCGACATTTTTTTTTTCCAAGCGAAGTCTTCTTTCTTTTTCAATCGGCTGTTTCAAATATAATGTTATTTCTAAACCATGATCGGAAAATTGCTATGTTTCCAGAGTTGCCAAAATTCTGGGGCTTATAGTAGAGATGTCACAGCTCATTATCTTCGCAGGGGGGGGGGGGGGGGGGCGGGGGGGGACATATGTCCCCGGGCGCCGACTTTAGGGGGCGCCAAAATGGGTTGGAAAAATAAATTGAAAGGTTGAGGGGGGTGCAAATTGAAAGTTTGAGGGGGGGGGGGTGCAAATCAAAATCTTGAGGGGGGAGGGGGTGCAAATCGAAATCGTGAGGGGGGGGGTGCAAATCGAAAACTTTGTCCCCGGGCGCCGGGAAGGGTCGCTACGCCTCTGTATCTTCGCGAAGAGTTTTAATGTTTAAACAATTTTTTTTTTAACTAACACGGCCTTTACTCACCAACTTTCGAGTTCAAACGTTTTAAAAATGAAAAATGATTACCTACTCCATACATTCATAAAGCTCAACTGCACTACTAAAGTACTGTTCTCTGGAGTTCTCCGAACTTCTGAAATGTAGCTATCAAATACGTCGCTCCAGCATTCTCTGTCTTTCTATTTTATGGGCCTTGAAATTACTTCTTCCTTGACCTACACCATTGTTATCAGCTGGCTCAACGTGTGAAGCGCCCTTATTGTGTCATCGAGTAACTAGTCCTACAGGCCGAGTGTTTTTGACTAGCCTGTTTTCTTTTCTGCCTTGAAGTTTTAATAGTTACGAGCCGGCCCGCGGCATAACATACGCCGCTATTTAGTTGTTGTTTTTTTCTAATTTTCAGTAATTCATAATTTGTGAATTCGACGGTACCAACGCTGACACTGAAAATATTTCTTTAAAACACTATAAGTAGCTCGTTAAGGACCATAACCCCACCCCCCCCCCCCTTTCCTCCCCCCCCCCCCCAACGTTTAAAATCGTTTCAAACTAAATTATCTGACCCTAATAGCCGTCACTAAACCAGACTCCACGAAGGTAAACATAGCGTGAACCACAGCTCACTAAGACCATGTAGGGGTGGGGATGGTAGGGAGCGCGTTTACAGCTTGCTTTCTAGCGTTTCCCAGAAGAGAATTATATATATAGAAAATGGAAATTGATTTTTTGTTCATCATTTTATTCATGTTTGATCTTGTGTTATTTATTTTACAGCATTGATCCTGATCAGGATGCAACAATTACAGAAATACATACCACACTGGAAAATGGACATAGTGCTACTAACGAAGAAGTAACAAATCCCATGTATACCAGCAGTCCGATTAACCAGTTGCAAAATAACCAGGATTATCTGAGCGACCAATGTGGCGAAAATACTAATGCCACGCAAGAAAATTCAACACTAGATCAAGAAGAAAATGACAGTGCTATCACTCCGTTAATTGCAGAGGATGAAACAGACACAATTATACAGAGTGAATCACCCCAATTAAACAATACTCAACTGTAAGTCAATTTTTTTTACAATAGTTTAAATATACTTGAAATACGACTTTCACCATGAATGTAAAGAAAACAGTTCCCCTTTCTAACCTTACGGTCTATAGGGCAAGTGAAGTAGAGTTCACTTGTTTCTGTGACCTCGGCATATGAAGAGATAGTGTGGTCAACACTATGCACAGCCGCCTTTACTTTTCCTAACGTGAGTTGGGTGGACTCAAAGACGGTCTACTGACTTGAACCCGGATTCGAACTCGATACTTACGGGTTAGCACTCCAGCTCTCTATCGCTAGACCACTCCGTCCCACTTACCATGAATGATACGATTCTAAAATTTAACTTAGGTTGTTTACCAACAATTTTCATTTTCAGCTCTTCTTTGGAAGAAATAACCCAAAACATTCTTCTTGTTGGTGCATACGCCAGTGGTAAAAGCTCAACTGGTAATTCTATTCTGATGAAAAAGTTTTTCCAGTTCTCTAATGGCGTATCGCCATGCACTATAAAAGTTGAAGTCGGTACAGCAATATTTGGCGGTGGAGTGATTAAAGTGGTCGACACACCAGGGGAAATTACAAAGGAAAATGTTAGACAATATTTAGATGTGTGTAAAGAGGGTTATCACGCCTGTTTGATAGTACACAGATTTGGCTATCGCTTACTTAAAACTGAGCATATTATTGAAGGTATTACGAGATATTTTAACGACCAGTTCATTTCAAAGTTCGGAATTATCATTGTTACCGGCGGGGATACTTTTATAAAAGAGGAAGCTGATTTCACACAGTGGTGCCGATCTCAGAAAGGAGTGTTTAAGAATCTATACGACATGTGTGGTAAAAGAGCCATTCTTTTCGACAACAAAACCAGAGACCAGGATAAACAAAGACAGCAACAACTGATGTTAATGGGAGTGATACAAGGTATGAATCCGCAGTCTATAGCCTGTGTTGATATCCTAAACACTGAATCAAACCCCAACATGACATGCTGAATTAGAGAAAAACATGACTATTACCTAACGATCACTAAAACGTCTGAGGTCAAATAAAGCTTAGCCTACTTCTCACAAGCCTTCACTGCTTGTGTTTTAGACACTTTTATGGGTCGGCGTGGTAAAGCTCATGATTAAAATGAATTGTCCATATTGTGAACCCGCAGGCAGATTTAGCTCGATAGCTTGGGACAGCATCACATCTTCAAACAACTTCAAAATCATACAATTGTTGCCTTGTAGTTAAATCTTGGTTAGATAAAGGCTTTGGAAGCGAATCCACTGACAACGGAATCAACGGCCTATTATGCGCAAAAAATAAATAAGAATACGTTTCACTTCCGGTTATCGGAAAACGCTGAAAAGTTGACACAGAAGTACAAATTTGATATAATACTTGTGTATGAAATATCATCAATCTGGCTGTAACTGTACTGAAGTTATCGTGTTCACAGACATACACACAAACAGACATAAGGGCAGAATTGCAAAGCCCAGTTTTTCCGACTCGATTACGCATAGAACACCAAAATTTGGATAAGTCTGCATTTATTATTTTTGCCCGATTAAAATAAGTCCCCTATTCTCCGTATATGATGAACTACTGAGGTGTAAAACGATGGAAATTTGTCAAAATTTCGTGTGATTTTTGTGCACGATTACAATACTTCTTCGATACTCTGTATACGAGAAAGTAAAAAGGAAATACAAATATATTCCGGTCAATCAATTAATGGTCCCTTAACCCTTACTGGAGTAGCTAGGTGCATTATAGTTAGTTGTTTTTCTCAAAATATTCTGCCAAATGCAGAGGCGTACCGACCCTTCCCGGAGCCCGGGGACAAGCTTTCGATTTGCACCCGCCCCCCGTCGTCGAACTTTTGATTTAAACCCCCCCCCCCCCTCAAACTTTCGATTTGCACCCCCCCTCGAAATTTTCTTTTGCACACCCCCCCCCCCCTTTCAAACTTTCAATTTGCACCACACCCCCCCCCCCTCGAACTTTTCATTTGCACCCCCCCTCAAACTTTCAATTTGGCGCCCCATCTAAGGTCGGCGCCCGGGAACATATGTCCCCCCCCCCCCCCGACTCCCCCACACCCTCGCTACGCCTCTGCCCAAATGCCACGCCTCTCTGTTGCTCTGTGTACTTCTGCAACAGATGGTCAACTAATGTCATTGATTTTATTTTTTCGATTCCATTGACATTTTGTCTTCCCCCTTCTTCTCCATCTTGATATAATGCCTTGCATTATTGTTTTGGAGAGGGCTTTGATAAGTGTAACATGCACAGTCAGTGGCGTCGCTAGGTCAGGTGTCACCCAGTGCGGCAACTAATTGTGTCACCCCCCCCCCCTCCCCCGCGACTCCAACAAAAAAGTATCATTTGTATATATATATATATATATATATATATATATATATATATATATATATATATATATATATATATATATATATATATATATATATATATATATATATATATGTATATATATACAGCTGTATGTAATACAGTTGTATGTGGAATTATTTTCTCTATAATTAGCAGGTTTACGCTCAGGTATAACCCCTCCCCCATGTCGAAATCTTTGATTTGACCTTTTTAACTCTAATTAATCATTAATTAAGCTGGCATAAAGCATTTCTCTTGTATAAATATTTCAATTTTTTTGCCCTGGTGTCACCCGGTGTGGTCCACACTCCACCCCCCCCCCCCCCCCCCCCCCCGCCCCCGCCTTGCCACGCCGCCGCATGCACATTCCATTTTAACTTTCTTGCTTTGACTATATTCAGTAAATTAACAAGGAGACGTATAGTTTTAGTGATCCGTCAAGGAACTTCGGAAGCTTAATAACCTATTGTTTAGATGTAGAATTGGCAGCTAAGCGAAGCAGCTTTCATTGTAGTCTGTTGTCATATTTGTACTGTCATGTTGGAACAGTCATGTTTGTACTGTCGTGTTTGTACTGTCGTCGTGTTTGTACTGTCAAGTTTGTACTGTCATGTTTGTACTGTCGTCGTGTTTGTACTGTCGTCGTGTTTGTACTGTCATGGTTGTACTGTCGTCGTGTTTGTACTGTCGTCGTGTTTGTACTGTCGTCGTGTTTGTACTGTCGTCGTGTTTGTACTGTCATGTTTGTACTGTCGTCGTGTTTGTACTGTCGTCGTGTTTGTACTGTCGTCGTGTTTGTACTGTCATGGTTGTACTGTCGTCGTGTTTGTACTGTCGTCGTGTTTGTACTGTCGTCGTGTTTGTACTGTCGTCGTGTTTGTACTGTCATGGTTGTACTGTCGTCGTGTTTGTACTGTCGTCGTGTTTGTACTGTCATGGTTGTACTGTCGTCGTGTTTGTACTGTCGTCGTGTTTGTACTGTCGTCGTGTTTGTACTGTCGTCGTGTTTGTACTGTCGTCGTGTTTGTACTGTCATGGTTGTACTGTCGTCGTGTTTGTACTGTCGTCGTGTTTGTACTGTCATGGTTGTACTGTCGTCGTGTTTGTACTGTCGTCGTGTTTGTACTGTCGTCGTGTTTGTACTGTCATGGTTGTACTGTCGTCGTGTTTGTACTGTCGTCGTGTTTGTACTGTCATGGTTGTACTGTCGTCGTGTTTGTACTGTCGTCGTGTTTGTACTGTCGTCGTGTTTGTACTGTCGTCGTGTTTGTACTGTCGTCGTGTTTGTACTGTCATGGTTGTACTGTCGTCGTGTTTGTACTGTCGTCGTGTTTGTACTGTCATGGTTGTACTGTCGTCGTGTTTGTACTGTCGTCGTGTTTGTACTGTCGTCGTGTTTGTACTGTCATGGTTGTACTGTCGTCGTGTTTGTACTGTCGTCGTGTTTGTACTGTCATGGTTGTACTGTCGTCGTGTTTGTACTGTCGTCGTGTTTGTACTGTCGTCGTGTTTGTACTGTCGTCGTGTTTGTACTGTCATGGTTGTACTGTCGTCGTGTTTGTACTGTCGTCGTGTTTGTACTGTCATGGTTGTACTGTCGTCGTGTTTGTACTGTCGTCGTGTTTGTACTGTCGTCGTGTTTGTACTGTCGTCGTGTTTGTACTGTCGTCGTGTTTGTACTGCCGCCATGTTTGTACTGCCGCCATGTTGGTACTGCCGCCATGTTTGTACTGCCGCCATGTTTGTACTGCCGCCATGTTTGTACTGTCCGCATGTTTGTACTATGAAGCTTGAACTAGTGACAACCAGGTCCTGTATCTTATCATCCCAATCCAGCTGATATCCAGGTACCCATTTAATTAAACCATCGTTTGCTTTGTAACATGGAGAACATTATCCTGCGCTGAAGATCAATGTTTGTTCACTTAACTACAAATGTCCCTAATATACCTCATACCTCATACCGCTTTGTTGAGCTTAGTACATGCTAAAAATAGTAAATATGTGTCAAAAGAGATATAGTAATGTATGCCAATTTAACCATAGGAATTCACGGAAATTTAGCATCTAGCGTCAAATTTAGTTTGCAGTATTCAAACTAGCTGTGTTGTTTTAAAGTGCTTTTTATGAATACCTCTGAGCATAGATAATACTCTTATGTAACTCTATCCATCAACGACGAAAACTTTTTTTCATAAATTTCATAAATGAGGCAGTATCTCATTTCATGTGCCTATGTTAGTTTGTTGGTATCTTTTTATTAAAATAAATTAACACATAAATGTTATGGTTTTGTTTTTAATTTTTGTGTCCAGTAATGCCTAATGTTGCTAATTAGCGACATAGGCCTAGCATCAACATTTTTCAAATACTGAATTGAACTGTATCCTTTAATTCAGTGCCTGTTGGACAACATAAAATCAGTCAAAAATTGTCTAAACATTTTGAATACATTCAAACATTAAAGCATTAGTGTCTTCTCTTTGTCGACTTGAACAGGAGCGTATCATTATGCCCTATAGATTGATTCAATTGTTTAGCTCAAAAGCTGGATCACAACAGGTAACACGCATTTCAACCAAGTTCATTTTCACCTATTTTACCTTACTCCCAGATTAAAGATGTAATAAGTTCTAAAATCACCTTCCACGAAAATACTGAAGTCATATCACAAGGGCATGATATTTACTCAGCCGGTCACATATTTTGACAACACAAAAACAAGGATACATGACCCGAGTTGTGATATATTCGTTTTAGGGGTCATCCATTTATGACTTTCACAATAATTTCGGATTTTAGACACACCCATTCCCCGTCCTTTAAGCGTCCATTTGTTATGAACTCCCTCCCCCACATGGACTTCCACATAAAGTACACTTTTTAAACATGGTTTTGGTAATGTTTCTTATTAGAAAAAAGCAAACACAGAAAAAAGCGCAAACAGAAAAAAGCGCAAACAAAAAAAGCGCAAACAGAAAAAAAACGCAAACAGAAAATAGCGCAAACAGAAAATAGCGCACACAGAAAAAAGCGCAAACAGAAAAAAAACGCAAACAGAAAAAAGCACACACAGAAAAGTGTGCACACCGAAAAATGCGCAAAGATAAATTTTAGCACAAAGATCTCTTTATGGACAACATAAAATCTTTAAACGTGATCGTTAGGGTTGCTGTGAGAAGGTCGTGTTTGACCCTACGCGATCTACTACCATTTAAACAATACCACTACCATGTGCATTCATATCACCACGATACACCACGATACAGGCGATAATCGCTTGACACTACGCCAATTATTTTCTTTTTCACTATTTATTCAACTACTATTCTCGTATAAATAAACATAAAACTATCCTTGTTATCGGAATTTCACGGAGTATCTTTTACATTCTCCCTAGTCCGAACTCCCAAGCTTGCATACTACAACAACCCGTTCCTATCGCAAAACTTCACTCTCTTTCTTCCGCGTCATCAAACATGCATTCGCTAAAGCTCTAGCACCAACATTCATTCGCACCAAATAGCATTATAAAACACACATGTATTTAATATTATTATTACTTAACTGCAATATCCGTAACAGTAAACATAAAAGTCAAATCATTTTGATCGGCATCATGTTATCTTGAATATGGGATAAAATTGACCAGTGAGTCTATGAATACAGCCCAAGGTTAAATTTTAGTTAAGAAAAACAGCTATAAACCTATATATATATATATATATATATATATATATATATATATATATATATATATATATATATTTATTTATTTATTTATTTATATATATATGTATATATATATATATATATATATATATATATATATATATAGTAAGTAAACCCACCTGACATTTAGCACATCCTTCAGTATCAGCTCCCAGTACTCACCAACCGGATGTTGGTCCCAATGACGTAGATATCTCGTGGAACAATATGACGCTGAGCTGCCACAAACACCACCTAGTTCCAGAGATGGAACTTGCACGAGCCAAAGTTAATAAAGTAAGCTATATTTGGAACACGGTTACAAGTCTCCAATGCGCATGCGTCCTTTTCTAAATGGCTAAAATATACCTGCTCCAAATACATGCGACATACGATATCGGATTTGTAGGCGAAATCATCGCAAATCAAATTTTTATTTATAGACATTATACTTTTATCTATCGATGCCAAAAGTTCCAATACTGAACAGTGTGTTTTCTTATGTAAAGGGTAAGTAACTCCAAAACCGTTTGATTTGTTGGCCGATTTCCGATTATCCCAAAATTTTGGCATTTTTGTCACTGAGAAGAGTTTAAATGCAGATGGATCTGTTTCAAGTTAAGCCGTACTAAAAAAAAAGCTGTAGTTCCAAAGAAGTAAAATCATGCAGTTAGCCAAAATAAGAAAGAAGAGCCAAAATAGAATTTTTA